TTTACCCAGCTTTTCTATTTCCAGCATTGCCTCAGATTGTGCTTTCTTTATTGTCTCTATTTCGGTTTTTAGGTCTTGTACTGTTTCTTGTGTTTTTTGGTTTGTTTTGTCTTCAATTTCTTTAAGGGATTTTCTCATGTCGTCTTTGAGATCCTCTATCATTTTCCTGAAGGTGTTTTTAAGGTCATTCTCTTCTGGTTCATCTGTATCGTGATATTGAGGTCTTACTGGTGTATGGTTCCTAGTCTCCGGTGGTGTCATATTGGTTTTTCTGTTGTTGGACGTGCTTTTCCCTTTTCCTCTTCTCATTCTTTCTTCTGGTGGGTGTAGCAAGTGTTTCTTGTTCTCCTGGTGGGTGTGGGACCAAGGTTCCCTTCTGGTAGATGCAAATAGATCCAATACTCTGATGTTGGTTCTCTTCTCATGGATGGAGGTGTCACTGTTACCCGGGTATCGGCAATGTCCGGGCCTGCCTGGTCCCGACAGGCGGGCAGTTGGAGGCAGAGCTTTCACCGGGCCTCGGGGTGTCAGATCCCGCTGCCGAATTCTGTATGGTCATTTGTGTCAGATGACTCTGAGCAGCGACAACGAACCGGAACTGGAAACAGCCTCTGGGGGCTGCCTCTGGGTGTTCGGTGTTCGTAACCTGCCACCGCTGAACTGGGTCTGGCAGGCAGGTAGCTTGCCTCAGATGACTCTGAGCAGCAATCGTTTCTTCTGTTTTTATTTTGTAAATTAATTCCTGATGTGTTGGTATGGATCTTCTTTTAATTCTGTGTGGAAAACCATCCGGCCCTGGGTCTTTGGGTTGAGAGACTTTCAATGACTGCTTCTATTTTCCAAGAGGTGATAGGTCTGTTGAAGTATTTATCTGATGGTGATTCAACTTTGGTAAATGGTAACTAATGAGAAATTATCCATTTCATTTAAATTTTCCAGTTTGATGAAATACAGGATTTAAAGTATGTCCTTTTGATTCTCTAGATTTCCTCAGTATCTGTTGTTATGTCTGTTATGTCCCTATTTTGTTTCTAATTTTATTAATTTGGATAACTGCTGTCCATCTTCAATTAGTTTGGATAAGGGTTTATCTATCTTGTTGATTTTTTCAAAGAACCAATTTTGATATTTATATGGTTCTCTTTATTTCCATCTTATTGATTTAAGCCATCAGCTTGATTATTTCTTACAGGCTACTCCTTTTGATGTGCTTCCTGTTTTTGTTTTGTAGCTTTGCTGTGTGCTATGAAGTTGCTAGTATAAGATCTCTCCATTTTTTGTTGCAGATGCTTTTTTTAATTTGAATTAGAATCGAGATTGTTTTACATGTCAATCCCCGTTCCCTCATCCTCTCCTCCTCCCCTAACACCCTCTGCCAACTAAAACCCTACTTATCACGTGTCATTTCTGCTCCCCCAGGAGAGTGAGGCCTTCCATAGGGCCCCATCAGAGTCTGTCGTATCCTTTGGGATAGGGCCTAGGCCCCCACCATGTGTCTTGGCTCAGGGAGTATTATTCTATGTACAATGGGCTCCCAAAATACACACCTATGCTACGAATAAGTACTGAAGGAGGTCCTGTAGATTTCCCAGGTCTCCTCATTGAAACCCACATTCCTGGGGTTTGGATCAATCCCATTCTGGTATCCCAGCTACCATCTGGGGATCAAAAACTCCCTGTTGTTCAGGTCAGCAGTTTCTGTGGGTTTCACCAGCCTGGTTTGGAACCCTTGGCACATCACTTGTCCTTCTATGCAACTGGATTCCACCTTTAATAAGAAAGTATTGTGCCATTTCAAAAGGATGTCATCAGGCATCACATATAGTTGTCCATTGTTCTGCATGTCCACACAGCTCACTGGAATAAAAGGCACGAAAACTGCTGTAAGCTAACAGTTTTTCAGGTGTTTGCAGAGACAAAAGTATTTATCTGAACAGAAATTCTTTGGAATTTGCAATAGTGCTTGTGGTTGCACCTCAGCTCAACAGAAGTCCATGGACATGCTGAGGTTTGAGAATAAGGCTGTCTCAGTTCACCTCACTTAGGCTCCTTATAGTCTAAAGCACTCACACTCTGCTGTGTCTGCATCACTAAACAACTGCTTTTATTCTAAAGAGGTTAGGTTTGAGTAGGAATGGGCTTTATGGAGGGTCAGGAGAAAGGAAGATTCTTAAACATTGTTCCTATTGTAAATTGGTGTAGTCCTATGAGAAGCAATGTACAATTTTTCAGAAAGTTGATCTGCAGTCCCCATGTAACCCAGTGACTCCCGAATCGGAAATAGTTGGTAACAGTGAAACAAGGACACATTGACCAGCCTTCTTCAGAGCAGCCCTGAAGTTGAACCTATTCAGATACCCAAAATCTCTGAATGTAAATGTATAATGTAGTCCAGACTTTCCATGGAATATTGTTCAGCAGGAAATAATATATGCACTTATTTGACTGAGTTAGTCAGCCTTCTGTCACTCAGACAAATCCCTGACACAATCATGTTACAGGAAGTAAATGTTTATATTGGCTCCTGGTTGTGGAGATTTTCTAGTTTCCTGGGTTCACTGCTTTGTGTCTGAAGTGAGGCTGCCTATGGTTTAGAGAGCTCCATGTGTAGGAAACTACCTTGGAGAAACTGGGAAGCACGAGTGAGTGCAAGGGCCTGGTCCACCACCAACCAGTTGTTCTGGGGAAGCAAGCCTTTAGGACACAGACTGGGGAAGGTGATAAGCAGGGATGGCTCATAGGACAGGCACCCCAGTAGCACATTTGTTTGTGCTCTGGGTTTACAAGAAAGCACTTCATTGCCCGGGATGTTTATCTGCCCTTCCCTCTGTGTTCTTCTATTCAAGGAATGTTAAGATTCTTCTCAAAGATCATTCTCATGTTATTTAAATTTCTTAAATTAATTAATTAATTCTTCTAAAATTAATCTCTTATTTTATCATTATCTGGGAAACGTTACATGTGAATGAAATGTAGTATGCTTGTACGAGTACACACTTGTATGTGTGTGTCTCAGGAGTGTGTATGTCTGTGTGCACATGAGTGTTCAACCCTCCACTGAGAAGATAATCCTCTAATAAACAGAAACAGGAAAAATTGGAGGAAAGACTGCAATACCTGCTGAAGCAGAGAGATCTGGTCACCAAGCAAATGATCCTGGCAGAAAAGCTGCAGCATCACTTCACGGTCTCCCAGAAGAGGTAGGATCTCAGGCCAGGAGAGATCTTAATCTCTGCCCTATTTGGGTTTCTGGCCATCTGCATTGCCTTTTAGTCCCAGATGGGGAAAGAACATCTGAGAGTACTGGGCTGGCTCAGTCAACAGGAATGTCTGTGCAGGAAACACTGTGGATTATCCTTAATCTTCCTAAGGGTTGTTTCCCCTTCTTCTCTGCTGAGTCCTCTCCTATGTTCTGAGTGCAGTGCTCCCTCCTATGGTAACCCCAAACCTAGCAGGGAGAGTGTATGGAAAACAGTGTGTCCTCCTGCCACTTAATTTTCCTTCACAATATCACCTTCAGAGATAAGTTCCTACCCTCGGGAAGATTTGCATGCAGGACCTTCTTACTGATTTATGGGTTCTCTGCAGCGTGTTATCTATTTCCTGTAAGAAGGTTTCTCTGGAATTAAGCAGGTTTAGAGTTTGAAATGTTGAACCCAGGAAGTTCCTGTGCTGAAGGAATAAACAGAGCCTCCACTGCAGTGTTGTGTAGGCTCTGATAGAGGGCCCCAAGCATTCTGGTTCCCAGGTTGCTCACAGTTAACTGGCATCATTTCAAGACCATGCATATCTCTACTGAACTGTGACTCAGATATTGATAGCTGGTAATTTTTTTCAAAATAATGTATCTGAACGTTTGGAGAAATGTCTGTTTTTCTAGTTCAGCACAGTGTGTAATTCTCAGTTTAATCTCTACAAGTGTTTAGAGCGGGAGAGAAAATCCAGCCCAGGTGCTCTCTCATCCTTCTTTCTTGAGGAAACAAGGAATGGATGAGCTTGACTGAAATGTAATGCTGGATTGTCCACCTGAGTAGAGCTGGTGGGAGCTCCAAAGCCAGCATGGCAGTTCCCCACTAGTCCTCTGAACCTGCTGTCTTCCTCCCCTAGGTTTGAAAACCTCCGGCGTGAACTGGAACAGATCACAGACCAGGGTGAGAGCCTCCTGCCGATGGAGATGCTGCAGCAGGAGCATTGAGTGTAAGTGAGCCACTATTGACTCCTACCCCTGCAACCTTGGTATTCATGGGGAGCATTTTCTTCCTTGACATTGGTTTCCTGTGAGTGAATTGGACCTGGTTTTGTCTGCACCATGGTCCAGTGAGGCTGCCTATGTGTCTGATTGCCTTTCCTTCTCTGACAGCACCCCTTGCAAGAACTGGGATGTTGAAGGAAGCCACATATATTTTCCACTCTAGCATCAACTCTTGCTCAAAAAGGACACCTCCTTATAACTGTGAACTAACAAGGAAAACTAAAACATACTACATGGGGAACCTTCCCCTTTCTGATCCATGTGTCTGATGTTGGCCTATTCCCGGAGACAAGAAATCATCAGAAAGAAGCTTGCGATTCAGAGGACCCACCCAGACTTACTCAGAATGCAGACATCCATCAGCTGGTGGCCCCGAGTGGGGCACAGAAGCATGGGGGAGCGTATGTTACTGAGCATGGTTACTCTGCCATTTTCCTCTCCATGTCTTTAGTAAGCTGACTGAGTCCTCCTTATGTGGTGAGAAACCTGACAAACAGACTGTATGGATGCCATGCTGTTATGTATACATACCACATGGAAAAGAATAGGATTGCCTCTCCAGGGAAGGGCTGAAGCCAACACCATGCACCACAGAGACTCCAGCACTCCTCACACCTTGTGTTAGTTGTTGGATCTTCCATGAATAAAATGACTGGGGATTCCCCAGTTTCACAGTCTGCACTGGCATGACCAGTCCTGAGAAAGGATTTATACAGGAGGTCTCAGACACTTTTGGATAGACAAATGCTCTCTGATGATTTGTTGGGTCTAGAGCAAGAGAATATTGTTAACTTAATTTGAGGGTGGGGACATCTGGTTTTGGCTCGGGTTTTGTTTGATTAGGATTTTTAGTTTTCTTTGCCCTTGTTTGAAGTTTTGTTATTATTTGATAATTATTTTGCTGTTGTCATTGTTTTCATAGTTGACTAAGGCTATACACTGTATATACTTCCTGCCCTTTTTCAGCACTTGTTGAGCAAAATGAATATTTTTATTCATAAAAACAATGTTGTTGTATTCTTGTCACTCCAGAACACACAGGTAGGGTTGGAACTCTCTAATTTCCTGCAGCCTTGGTGACACAGTGAGTTTTCACTCAGCCAGGAATTCACAGGCAGATAGGACCTCATCCCAAATGATTCTGTGCCTTGGTGTCAGCCCTTTCATGGCATCTGGTCTCCATGACCTCAGAACCAAGAGCTCAGTGGCCAGGAGTAACTACTGGGCTGTTTTGGCAACTGAGTCTAATGCCTTGTCCTCTGCCATCTCTGCAGGGAAAAACATTAGCAAAACTTCAAATAACATTCATATTTGAGAGTATTTTCTGCTTCACAGCACATGTAATTGTCCTCCTAGATAAAAGTGGACCCACCACTGCTATTTTAAAAGTTTTATGTTCTTCACTTTAAGAGGCTACATGGAATCCTAAGAGGAGAACTTCAATTCCCAAGTGTAAAACACAAAAATAGGAAATCACCATTTGGCACACACCACAGCAATGGATATTGAAATTATGAAAGGAAGGAATAATGCATGGTGTCCCAATATCTGTCTCAAAGAACCTCTTAATTAAAGAGAGAAATAAAAATGCTAAATGCTGCGATGACCTCCCCGAGTCCACATTACCTATCCAAACTGAAGCATCTGGGCCTCAGGTGTCCTGAGGGAGGAGTTCTGGGACTTATGTGAAGAACACACAGGGCTATGTGTGCAGTTAGAAGAAAAGACCTTCTGTAAATAACTGGCTTTCCCTACTGAAAAATGTAGAGGTGGCAAATGGGTTTGGAAGATTGGAGAAAATGTCGCAGAATCTGAGATCTGGAGAAGGTGCAGTAACCAGTGCTGGATGGGAGCCTCCAAAGGCCCAAGAATGGGAAAAGGGCACTGGTGAGAACGGGGCAGCAGATGAATGACCATGCAGTGTTGATGCTGCCTTTATGGACTTCACAGCTGTATCAGGATTTTGTAAGATGCTAATTTGAAGATGATGGATGATGAGTGTTCTGATTCTCCTGGATCGCAGGACACCTCCTGGCTGATCTAGAACTTGTTATGTAGTTTAAGATGGTTTCCAACCTTGCCTGGTGTAGGGGCTGTAACAGGTCCAAGCATGACAAACATGGCTCTGGTAGGTCTTGCCCTTCTCTTCCATTCTTCCCACCTTGTTAAATCCATTATACTCCAAAAGCTAGCCACCAAGGTCTGTTCCTTTATTTGGTGACTTCCCCTAGCTAAGGCTGACTACTAAGGTCCAGCAATCAAACTATTGATGTCCAGCATTCAGAAGCCCCCTTTGGTTCATCTAATTAACATGCCCAGTTAAAATTAATACCTCATCCTAACACAGGGTTTCCCCTTGTGCTTTTATAAACTGCCATTTTCCTATGGCCCAAATCTGTCTCCTTGCTATCCAAAGTCAGTCCTATGTCCCTCTGGAACAAATAGTCCTGATCCTTTCCCTTTCTCCCTTGTCTTCTACCTACAGTGTTTGTCTGTTATTTGTTCCTATGGGACAAATCATTTTCCTTTGTGCTGAGAACTTGGTCTTAGTTGGATTGTGTCAATACTGGTCCTTTCATTGGAATTACAGGGCTGAGGCATTAGGTAAGTCTTTAAACACAGCTTTATAGGTCATAGGAAATGGCTTTCTTGGTGGCCTATAGAAGTGTAATGGTTCAGCAAGGACTCTCCTGCAAGGACTCCCTCTGTCCTAATGCTGGTACTTTTTCCTCCCACTGGCTTAAGTGATATCAGAAGGAATGACATAGTATAAAAATCCCTCTTTTCCATCACAGAGAGGAAGCTCTGTAGGATTCATCACATACTGTTTTTTCAGTATCTCCTCAGAAAAACCTTCACACCATGAGTTTTGACACATACATGGTTGAACCACCACTTCTAGCCATCTGTCCAGCCAGACTGAATTAATGTGCACACACGGTAGTGTGTGTGTGTGTGTGTGTGTGTGTGTGTGTGTGTGTGTGTGTAGTTACTAACTGGTAGTAAGTGTTGGGTCAAAGAATCTGTCTTCTGGAGTAAGGTTGACTAAATTTGAATGCTATGCCTACTGCTTCCTAGGTTCCTTACTACTGTATTTTGATTCTTTGCCCCACTTCTTAAGTGGGATAGTAATTTGTTGTATGTGAAAACTGAGTTTGTACATGGAATGCCCAGAAAATGCTAGGTACCTAAGTGCTGGATATCACTCTGATCTGTGCCTAAGCTTCCTGGAAGGCTAAGAAACTATAACTTAGATGATAACGCTGTTTGGTGCCCTTGGTGGGAGTTAAGGTTGAGTGGGGTCTAAAGTGTCTAAAACTTCTCCAGCAAAAAGAGTCCCTATGCTCCCATAATCACTAGGATTATTTTTTTATTGTATTCACAAGAGAGCTCAGGGGCAGGAAGAGAGAGCCTCAGGCAGGGACTAGAGGGCCTTGCACATCCTCTAGGGTTCCAGCTTTTTGGCAGGAAGCTTATTTAAGTTGTCCTCTGTCCCACTTCTGAGGCTCTACAGGGATGACCTAGACACTGGGAATATATGAGTAAATAGGGATTAGTGAAGCAAAGGGAACACACTGATCAGATCAGCCTGGCTCAGACCACCCTTTGGCCTCACTATGTTGGAACTGTCAACTTGCAAATGCATGGGAAGGCTATGAGCTTCAGGGCCCAGTATTAAGTCATGCAGAAGATGTGCCCATCTCGTAACCAAGGAAGAACTCATGAAAGCAAACAGGCTTCTCTACCATGTCTATTCCCTAGTTATCCCCATGCCAACGAATTTTCGGATAATTTTAGTTGTTGACACTCCAGAAAGCATCTTCAATGGCAAAGCCTGGAGTGAGGCAAAAGGTTTTTTAGAACCATGTGTTAATTTTCATGTAGGGTTCGTAGGGCATTTCAAGTTTTCATCTCTCCAAATGCAGCTACAATGGCCACTGTCCTTTCCCAG